TAGATTTTAATTTCATTTTAGTTAAAGTTTAGTTAGTCACTTTGCTAGTTTAAGTATGTCTATAAGTTTTAATTTATTTAGTTTTAGTCATTTTAGTATTTCAGTTTAAACTAAACAAAAATGAGACCTGTTGAACTAGCTTTAATTTTGTAATATTTTATTTGAATTATTTTTTATTGTTTTTATTTTAGTTAACAATAATAACTCTGGTTAATATATGGAGGCCATTTCTGAAATGGGAAAAGGGGAAATTTCTAATTTAGTGGTCAAAACATAATTTAAATGTCACTTTTTTTTTTGTTCTTTTTTTTTTCGTGAGCATATAATCTTATTATAATTAATAATTATTATGAAGTTTGCAGGTCAAACTGACCGTAACTGGTTTTACTACAATGTTACAACAGTAAAAACATGATAAATAAAACTGTATTTAACAAATATTTAGTTATTTTATGTTTGTGCTCTTAGAGGCTATGTTTATTGCAGTGCTTTTACGGGGTGTTTTGAACGTACTGTAAAACATTTCCAGGGACAAGAAAATTGGACGTTTGGTTACCTTTTAGTTAATATAATTGTCTTGCAGTTCAAACGCTGAATCATAGCAGTTGTTTTCAGGTATAAAAGCATTAAGAATGGTCTTCTCTCTGGTGCCAAGAGCCGATAGATAGATAGATAGATAGATATTTTATTTTTTAGAATATTTCTTACACAAATGTACAGTGCTATGTTTCCCTTTAAAAAAGCTAATATAGTCATCCAGTGTTTTTTTTTCACTTCCTTGAAGCTCCAGATCAAAGTTAAACAGCTTGAACCTTGTAATGCTGAGAATGTTGTATATTATTTACTTGTCTGTAAAACTTAACAATGGTGTCAGCGTTTGGCCATGTTCAATCTTCCCTGCTTTTATTGGTTTTCCAGCTAAAACAAAATGCCATTTTATTTGACAGGGAGCTGCTAGAGGAAAGTGGCCTCACCGTTGACACCCTCCACAAGATTGGAAATATCAAATTTGAGTTTATTGGGGAAACAGAACTGCTGGATGTCCACATTTTTAGAGCTGACACCTATAAAGGAGAGCCAACCGAATCAGACGGTAATAAAGCGCCACATCACTTAATGATCCAGTTTGTGAGACACATACTGAGACAGAAGGTCTAATAACGTTTGTTTTCTCTTTCAGAGATGAGGCCACAGTGGTTTGACACCGATAAAATACCTTTCATCCAGATGTGGGCAGATGATGTCCTGTGGTTCCCACTGATGCTTCAGAAAAAGAAGTTCTTGGGATATTTTAAATTCCACGGTCATGATGTGATAGTGGAGCATAAACTGGAGGAAGTGGAGGATGTGTGATTGGGGTTTGAACACCACTGATGAACATTGCCACTGTATCAGTGGAAATTATCCAACTACATGGTTTCTTGGATACGATGTGAAATCATGAGATATGAAATGCTGTAGTTTAATGTAATAAATGTACAGCATTTTGTACAAGCACACTTTTTTTGCATGGCAAAATATCGTTATCTGTTAGTTCGGTGTTCCATTTATATTTAGGTTAAATTCACATCTTCTGTATTCTGATGTTTTGTTTTTACCACCTTCTTTGTTCATCATTCCTACAACGGTTGTTCAGTAGAGTACACCAAAAATCATACCTTTCTTACCAAGATCTTTACTATTCATCTACCTGTCATCTACTAAATAAAGTGCTGGAAAGTGCAGAATAAAACGAAGTATCTATCATCATTCTATCTGTCTGTCTATCTATCTATCTGTCTGTCGTCTATCTATCTATCTATGACTATCTATCTGTCTGTCGTCTATCTATCTATCTATGACTATCTATCTGTCTCTATCCGTCTGTCGTCTATCTATGACTATCTGTCTGTCTATCTGTCGTCTATCTATGACTATCTATCTATCTCTCGTCTATCTGTCTGTCGTCTATCTATATGACTATATCTATCTATGACTATCTATCTGTCTCTGTCTATCTATCTATGACTATCTATCTGTCTCTGTCTATCTATCTGTCTGTCGTCTATCTATCTATGACTATCTATCTGTCTCTGTCTACCTGTCTGTCGTCTATCTATCTATGACTATCTATCTGTCTCTGTATCTATCTGTCATCTATCTATGACTATCTATCTGTCTCTGTATCTATCTGTCGTCTATCTATCTATGACTATCTATCTGTCTCTGTCTATCTATCTGTCGTCTATCTATCTATGACTATCTATCTATCTGTCTGTCGTCTATCTATCGTCTATCTATATGACTATATCTATGACTATCTATCTGTCTCTGTCTATCTGTCTATCTATCTATGACTATATCTATCTGTCTCTATCTATCTGTGTCGTCTATCTATCTATCTATGACTATCTGTCTGTCGTCTATCTATCTATCTGTCTCTGTCTTTCTGTCTGTCGTCTATCTATCTATCTATGACTATATCTATCTATGACTATCTATCTGTCTCTGTCTATCTATCTGTCATCTATCTATCTATGACTATCTATCTGTCTCTGTCTATCTATCTGTCGTCTATCTATGACTATCTATCTGTCTCTATCTATCTATCTGTTGACTATCTATCTATCTATCATCTGACTATCTATCTATCTATGACTATCTATCTATCTATGACTATCTATCTATCTATGACTATTTATCTATGACTATCTATCTGTCGCCTATCTATGACTATCTGTCTCTGTCTATCTGTCTGTCATCTATCTATGACTATCTATCTGTCTCTGTCTATCTGTCGTCTATCTATCTATGACTATCTATCTATGACTATCTATCTGTCGTCTATCTATGACTATCTATCTGTCTATCTATCTATCTATCTGTCGTCTATCTATGACTATCTGTCTCTATCTGTCTGTCATCTATCTATGACTCTATCTGTCTCTGTCGTCTATCTATCTATGACTATCTATCTGTCTCTATCTATCTGTCGTCTATCTATCTATCTGTCTCTATCTATCTGTCTGTCGTCTATCTATCTATCTATCTGTCTGTCGTCTATCTATCTATGACTATCTATCTATCTGTCTCTGTCTATCGTCTATCTATCTATGACTATATCTATCTATGACTATCTGTCTCTGTCTATCTGTCATCTATCTATGACTATCTATCTGTCGTCTATCTATGACTATCTATCTGTCTATCTATCTATCTATCTGTTTGTCTATCATCTATCTATCTATCTGTCTCTGTCTGTCATCTATCTATCTATGACTATCTGTCTATCTATGACTATCTATCTATCTATCTATGACTATCTATCTGTCGTCTATCTATCTATCTATCTGTCTCTATCTGTCTGTCGTCTATCTATCTATCTATCTGTCTCTATCTGTCTGTCGTCTATCTATCTATCTATCTGTCTCTATCTGTCTGTCGTCTATCTATCTATCTATCTGTCTCTATCTGTCTGTCGTCTATCTATCTATCTATCTGTCTCTATCTGTCTGTCGTCTATCTATCTATCTATCTGTCTCTATCTGTCTGTCGTCTATCTATCTATCTATCTGTCTCTATCTGTCTGTCGTCTATCTATCTATCTATCTGTCTCTATCTGTCTGTCGTCTATCTATCTATCTATCTGTCTATCTATCTATCTGTTTGTCTATCATCTATCTATCTATATATCTGTCTATCTGTCTGTCTGTCGTCTATCTATCTATGACTATCTGTCTCTGTCTATCTATGACTATCTATCTATCTGTCTGTCTATCATCTATATATCTATCTATCTATCTATCTGTCTGTCTATCTATCTGTCTGTCGTCTATCTATCTGTCTGTCTATCTGTCTGTCGTCTATCTATCTATCTGTCTGTCTGTCTATCTGTCTGTCGTCTATCTATCTATCTATCTGTTTGTCTATCATCTATCTATCTGTGTCTGTCTATCGTCTATCTATCTATCTCGTCTATCTATCTGTCTATATATCTATCTGTCTGTCGTCTATCTATCCATCTATCTATCTATCTATCTGTCTGTCTGTCTATCGTCTATATGTCTATCTATCTAAGAAAAGAACGCATTTTGGCTTTAGGCTTTAGGACAACTTTGATGAAAGGTTTTGATCCGCTTCAAATGGTGAGTGACTAGAGTAGTTTGAAAGTGTTCGCTTGTATACACTACTGTTCAAAAGTTTGAATACCTCACGGTAATGCTCAGCAAGAATGCAAGTATATGCGATTTTCCTGCTCAAGAAACATTTCTTGTCATTGTTGGGACACAATTGTGCTGATTAATATTTTTGTGAAAACCGTGATACATTTTTCAGGATACTTTGATGAACAGGAAGTACAAAAGAACAGCATTTATTTGAAATAGTATTCTTTTGTAACACTATAAATGTCTTCACTGTTACTTCTGCTAAATGCATTGTGCTCAGGCTGAATAAAAGTATTAATTGTTTCAAAAATAAAATCTTACTAACTCCAGACTTTTGAATGGTAGTGTAAATATTACTTACAAATTAAGATGAAATGTGAAAAAGCTGCAAGCACAAGAAGTACAAGTCTTAAGAATCAAAAATAGACAATCAGAGAGAAAAATCTGTCAGTTGAAACCACGAACAAGGAAGAATATGATGCCTTTGCAACTAATAACATCATTTCTGCATATTTCCTGTGTTTGCTAAGTATATTCAACTGACCACTGCTCTGGCTTGCTGGCTATTAGCTTCTCAGTTCAGTTCTCTATATTGCACTAAAATAGTAGATATAGGTCATCTTTCATGAGTTACACGGTTTTGTACAATGTAAAATTTATCTTTCAGCTTAGCTTACATTTTAAAACAACATCAGCTTTGCATACATGTAGATTAAACATTACCCTGTTGAAAAAACCAGCATATGCTGGTTAGGTATGTTTTGACGCTGGGATGCTGGTTTAAGCTGGTCCTTTGCTGGTTTATGCTGGTCATGTGCTGGCAAAGGACCAGCATAAACCAGCAAAGGACCAGCATAAACCAGCATCCCAGCATCAAAACATACCGAACCAGCATATGCTGGTTTTTTCAACAGGGTAATACAGTGTTGTAGCATCTTGTTGCATTTCCTCAACTTATTGTCAACATCATTAGCCGTTTATTTTAGGCGTCAGTTTGTTCAAACTGTAGGAAATTAAGGGCCCTTTTCGACAGACAGATTTTAGGAACTGCCACATAACACATTCACACATAAGCAGTTCCCAATAACTCTTTGCAAGAAAGAATACTGACTGTCCGTATTATTTCCTGAATAGATCCTGCTATTCAAAACAGGCTGGAGTTCATTTTCTTTCGATTCTGAAGGGAGGCTATTTTGGGCTGAGAGGCGGAGACTGTCCGTTACCGTCCCCAAAAATACTTTTAAGCTTGGAATGAAGATCCTGCCACACCTCACCCATCTATATCAGAGCAAAATAAGGCACAACAGCAAATATTAGAAGGCTTTGTTAGGATCAAAGTAATAAAACTAACTTTGGCACACATTAAAATGAATAGCTTTAACACCGAGATAGATAAAAGATAAGCTTACCTCTTTATGTCCCTGCACCTGTGAGTTTACAAATGCCCCCAGGATATGAGACGTAATGGGCAGGTATGTGAATATGAGCTGGCTCTCCTGGTGCAGGCAGAACAGGGAGAAGTAGTTACGCAGCTCCATGGCCTGGATGGCGTTTTCTTGCTGCCGTGAGTCAGAGATCATAGTGAGGTTAGAGTGCGGTCATATCTTCCCACCCTAACCTTCATCATCATCATTATTATCACAATGAGCCACCCAGCAGTTCAAAACCACTGGATCATGACATGCTAGTTGAAGGTTAGACAGATACTGTATATGTGCCTCACATGATTTGGCATTGCATCAATATCACTTAAGAATGAGGGAGTGTTTCTCCAGCTGGCCAGGGCCTTTATGTTGTTTTATAACAAAATTAAAGTGATAAATCAAATTGTTAAATGAGAAAATAAAATGAACGTGCAAAATGGCTGCTAAAATGATCAATTAAATGCTTGAATGAAAGTTTGGTCAGTGTATAAAGTTTATTAAGACTTAACAAAATGAAATGGGTTGCTAGGAATTTTTTTGGGTGGCTTATAAAATATCCTCAGTGTTGGTGATGCAATGAAAATACATTAGTGGTATTAATTACTAGTCTATTTCAGTAACATTTTTCAATCTTTTTGAAAGACGTCTCTCACCAAGGTTGAATCAAAAATGTAGTAAAAAAGTAATATTGTGAAATTGTATTACATTTTAAAATAACAATACATTTTTAATGTAATTTCCTTCCTGTGATGGCAAAGCTGAATTTTCAGCAGTTATTACTCCAGTCGTCAGTGTCACATGATCCTTCCTTAATATTTTTGTGGGAAACAGTGATACATTTTGATGAACAGAAATTTTAAAAGAACAGCTTTTATTTGAAATAGAAAGCTTTTACTGTCACTTTTGATCAATGTAGGCCCTACTGCATCTTTGCTGAATAAGGGCCAGATGTACTGAACAGGGCAAATTAGCGTTAGAGCAAACCCTCATTTGGCACACAATTCCTTAAAAGTGCCGATAAGAGAGAAAAATTATGCGGGTGATTTACTGAAAATGCGCACATTAAAGAACACAGACGCAACATCTCATTTCCATAATGACCAGCGCAGCAGCGCAAATTACCTTCTGCTTTAAGACATGCTTTTTTTAGGCGTTAAATAATGCAGCAAATACCAGTAAATTGACAAGCGCAAATCTTAGTAAATCACGTTGTGTGATTCATTTAAATACTCTCCTCCCATAAATGTAACGATCGTAAGGGAAACTCCTACAAATGTATATTCAGTAAAGTGAGTAGCAAAAATAACTCGGTCCACACCTTTTCAGCTCTAATTTCCCACTGCGTGTCTTTAGTAAATCCTGACAGTAGTTTAACGCCAAATGAGGGTTTGCGCTGACGCAAACTGATAGTAAATCTGGCCCTATAAGTGTTAATTTCTTTCAAAAATAACAAAAAAATACAAATCTTACTCAGACCAAATAGTAGTGTATTACCAATATAATCAAATTCTGAAAAATATTTAATATCTTAAGTTTAATGTTTTTGTTCTATGTACAATGTTTTTTTGAGAGCCCAGTTTGAAAACCCAGGCCTAAACAAGATAAAAAAATAAAAAATAAAAAAAGAGGCCTACTACTACCTCTCCAAAGAGGCAGAGATCTTAGTTCAGATGCCTGCGGCATCCCCAGAGGGATTTTGAGGATACAAATCTTGCTCAAGGGCTTTGGTTTCAAGCCCTTCAGATCAATTTCACCAACTAAATTAAAAGGATGTATCAGCACCCGTCAAGCTACTGGTCCCCACATTTCCCCTCTGGTAATTCTGCCTGACAATCTGCTGTAGCTCTTTGTGTGTGTGTGTGTGTGTGTGTGAGGGTTGACCTGGACGATGCGGGACTCAAGCTGTTCGACAGAAACCTGTTCTTTAGGCTGCACCGTGGCACTCAGGATTTGTCTTTTCATGACACCGTACTTCTGCAGCGCGCGCTGGTGTTCGTGCAAGACCCCTTTCTCATGTCGTTCACACAAGTCCTGTATGACACCACACATACACACTCATAAAAAATCGTATGTGCCATGGCTCAGTGGTAACTTATATGTACTTTGAGCTTTGGTGCTCATGTGGGTAACACAGGTTTGAATTAAGCTTGCAACACAAGTCTCCCCATTATTTCTTGTCCTCTCTAGATAAACAGTGGATGAAAACAGCTAAATTACAACTCTTTTGCTATATTCCAAGAATTCTGAAATGTTGTCAAAATTCAGAAGAAAAAAAAAATACCAGTCAAAAAGTTTGTAGTAAATTACTTCTTTTTTTTTTTTTTTAATGTTTTTAAAATAAGTTTCTCATGGTAATGTTTTTCAGTCTCTTATTAAGGCTGTATTTATTTGATCAAAAATACAATAAAAACATTAATACTGCAAAATATTATTGCAATTTAAAATAACTGTTAAAGTGTAATTTATTCCTGTGATGTAAATCTGAATTTTCAGCATCATTACTCCAGTCTTCAGTGTCACATGATCCTTCAGAAATCATTCTAATATGCCGATTTGCTTCTTAAAAACATTTATTATTATCAATAACAATTCTTTTGACTGGTACAACTGTATTTACTGCATAATCTTTTTTTACAGCCCTCAAAGTCATATTTCAATTTATTTCCTCTAAATGGGCAAAAATACAAAGAAAAAGATTTAGCTGTGGCTAAATGTTAAAGCACATAAATACTCACCCTGTACGACTGCAGCAAGTCCAGGAACAGATTCAGTTTTTCCACCACATCATCCTCCTCTCTTCTGCCCTGTATTAAATAAACAAATTAAATTCCTCTGTAGCAGTGCGCAGCCAGTTCACGTGGTATGTGTGGGCGGCACAGTAGCCTACCTGTTGGGCAGCTTTCTCAGACAGAAGAGAGAACTCAACAGAAAGCCCTTTGACAGAGCGTCTGAGAGCAGCCCAAGGACTCTTGCAGGATGCCAGGATAGGCACAGGTGACTCATCCGATCCCAAAGAACTGGAGCGGAGAGAGACCAAAGCTGAAATCTATGGCAGGTAGTCATAAACATCTGATAATCAGGCTCTCTTAAACCACGGAAAAAATCTGGTATTTTCCACCTACTCAAACAGTGACTGTTACTGTACTGTACCATTGTACAGAAGAGATAATGTACAGTCAAATAGTCACCATCAAAAAATAAACCCTTGCAGGTTGATTTCTAGACTTGTATCACTTTGAAGGTTTATTCATTTATTTATTTTGCTGCAAGGGGTGATGGGGGTAGTTAAGGGGGAAAAATTCAAAGGAGTATTGAAATAAATATGTATGTATAAATAAATGATGTGAATAATATCATTATTTAAGTCACAGTGCTGGTGGGTAAATAAAATGATGTGTTAAAAAAGTAAAAGAAAAAAAAAGTATCAAATAAATACATGATTTAAATCACAGTTTATTTATATATCTAACAGTACTGGGGGTAGAAAAAAAACTGGTTAGCACAAGCGTAATATTTTATAGATAAAAATCTACAGCTGCCTTTATATTTTAAACATTCTAAACTTTTTCTACGTTTAAGACAGTGGTTCTTTTAATATTTATCGGCCTTAAATCACAATTCAGTTTTTTTCCTCTAAATGGCCAAAAACATCTTTGCTGTGGCATTATTTATTTATACATCTAACAGTACTGCTGGGTGGGGAAAATGGTCAGCCAATAACTGTTTTTTATAAATAATATATATATATATATATATATTTTTTTTATCAATAAAAATTTACAGCTGCCTTTATATTTTGAACAATCTGTTTTTTTTGGTTTTGTTTTGTTTTTTGTCTTTCTACATGTCTAAGACAGTGGTTCTCAACCTTTTTTAAATGACAGAAATTAAGTAACTACAATAATTAAATTCTAGAACTTTAGGGGTGAATTCAATTAAGAAATATCTTGTTTTAGTTGTTTTAAAGCTTGCTTTGACTTATTTCGAAGCATTTGTTGCCCTTGGAGGTGGACCTCAGTCAGAGCCCAGGTTGTTAAGAACCACTGGTTTATGAGATACCACAAAGATTCAGAAACAGCCCTCAGGATGAGGTGGTACCTGAGCTCCTTCCCAAACATCAGCAGATCTGTGGCGTTCTCCTTCGAGCGCTCGGCCATCCTCTCTGCCCTGTCCCGTAACTTCTGAAAACTGTTATGGATATTTTTGATGAGCTCTCTGCTGGATGAAAACTGACTTTGGATATCTGCTGGGAGGTAATCCTGCATGAAAAATCACAATACAGACAAGCAATATTAATTACCAAATACCGCAATAAAAGAGAATATTATGACATTCGAACATAAACATACATTTTAACATGTAAAGTAAAATAAAACGGAATCAAACCTTGGCCTGCGTTGCATATTTGCATGTCATGAACTCATCACCCAATTTTTTGCACGCATCTCTAAGCTTAGTTTGGACATCCTGTGGGGCATAAATATTGAAATCTGGAATGTCTATCAAGAATATAAAACAATTTATACATTTCTTTTTTCAAGCCGGAACTGGCATATCTCAAGTAGCTTACTTTTATATGCATTTTTTTTGCAGTATAAAATATCATACAAATTCAATCCCATTTATCTAGAAATTCAAATCAAGTTCAGGGTTAGCAAAAAATCCACACCGAGCCACTGAAGGTAAGGAATGTTTTCACAAGCTCATCCTCGGAAAAGACAGGGTGGCGTGCCACAAGATTCAGAAACCTGCCCAGAGCTCGTCTCCGGCCTTCAATGAACTCTCGCTCTGACATAGAGGTCAGGACTGCAGCGGGGCCAAAGAACAGAGAAAAGATTAAACTTTTCCAGAAACAACAAAACATAGCCCTTCCATTAATAAAACACAGCAAGGCACTTTCTGGTACTCCGTTACTGTGGAAGTACAAGTTGCTGAAGTCTGCAGAAAAACAGAAGAAGTTTACTTTTTTTTACCTTGGCAGAGCTATGATTGCTTGTCTGGTGCATTCCCAGAAAGCACTGAATGTCACAGCACAGTCTAAGTGGGAAATGCACAAGACTATAATCTACAGGTTTGTTTACAAACCTTTCACAGGCTGAGATTTTACAGTGAATAAATCAACGCCTTACCTCCTTTCAGCGCCCTTTTGGGAGGAAGCGCCGGCACGACTCTGTAAGCGTATCTCTGAAGCAGGAGCTCATGGAAGACGTCAAAATCAGTGTATCGCCGATAGACTGATACTGTAAAACGCTGCAAAAGGGCACACAGTAGATAAACGATCAGCGATATGTTTAAATATTACAACTGTAACTGTTGCATGACTCAGCAGCAACTCGACAATGTCTTTTTGTCCAATTTTGCACTGAAGAGGTCTTATTGTTTTATAATTATCTTTTATATTAAAAAAATATATATTTTTGTACTATTATTTTTAAATAATCCCCGCCCCCACCCGCCTGAGTTCTTTGTATAATAATATGTTTGTGCCAGATACAGTTTCTAACCCTCTCATCCTTTGCAAAGTCAAGCTATTTTATCTCAACTGATCAAGGAAAACGATTCCTCATAATATGAACCAGACTCACTGGTCCTTGTTTACACATTTATCTTGGGCTGTCCACATGTAATTGGATCATTTGAGACAGACACTGAAGCTAAAGTGGGCCATTTTTCAGCTACATATGGAGAGAAGTAATTTTTGTTTGTGCACCATGACACAGCAACAATGACTCAACTAATGGTTTAGGGTATAGAGTTGGAATATTCTGACCAAAGACAGAAAAAATCTAAACTTGTAAATCAGGTCTTTTAAAAGAACAATTCACTCAAAAATGAAACTTTGCTAAAAATGTACTCACCCTCAGGCCATCCAAGGTGTAGTTGAGTTTGTTTCTTCATCTGAAAAGATTACATCACTTGCTCAGCAATGGATCCTCTGCAGTGAATGGGTGCCGTCAGAATTAAAGTTGAACTTAAACAGCTCATAAAAACATCACAATATTCCACAAGTAATGACTCCAGTCCATCATTTAATGTCTTGTCAAGTGGACTGTTTTTGCTTGTAAACAGTGCTTGATCTGTGCATATTTCTATCCTGATTCAGACAAGATGAGTTTTTCACTGAAAAAGAAGTATTATGGATATAGGACTCATATTTTAGCCAGAAGCAGCGGTTTGAAGTTAAAAACGTCTTAATGATGGATTACTTGTGGATTATTGTCATGTCTTTATCAGCTGTTTGGACTCTCATTCTGATGGCACCCATCCACTGCAGAGGATTCATTAGTGAGCAAGTTATGAAATGCTAAATTTCTCCAAATATGTTCTGTGAAGAAACAAACTCATCTACATCTTGGATAACTTGAGGGTGAATTATTAGCAAATTTTTACTTTTGGGATGAACTTTAATGTCGCCTCTAAAGTCACTCACCTCACTGGTGACCTGATACTCCACGTGTTTAAGAAACAGCCCCTTCTTCTCGGGAATGAGCTCAACTTTGATGGTGTCCTTCTTCAACAGCTCTCCCAGAGCCAAAGACAAGTTCAAAGGACTCTCCTGAACCGTCTGCATCTTCAGACTCTGAAGCTCCCTCGGCTCTCCCAACTGAGGCTTCGGGAACTCTTTAAAAACATGACATATAACAGTGACTGTGCTGTATTTAAAGAGGTGTGACAGCCAGATGTGACTGACTAAACATTATATGTATGTGATCACAGTATCATACTTAATCATTTTAAATTATTTTCTTTCCATCTCTGTTCCATGAGAGGCTTGTGACGGCAAATAAATAACACAGCATTACAGAAAAGTCGCAAGGAATGACAAAGAACAAGAGATAAACAATGTTGAGCTGTGTGACATACAACGTTTTTTTCTGTGAATTTCTGTGGTTTGTGTTTCCAATTTAGAACTGAAAATCTGGGAAATGGGAAAAAACAACTTGACCCAGCAAAACGTTGCCTCAGCAGATTCAACCCAGGATCTTTGCTTTTGTTTGGTGGAATGCAAAAAAAAAATAAAACTTTCCTGGTCATTCCAAAGAGAGATATGCATTTGGCATGCAGTTGACGGGAAACTTGGTCTTGCTTAGAGGAAAAAACAGGAAACGTCACTTTTAAAGTGCACAGTCAACTGTCATACTGGCAACACCTGGAATAACACAAGATGCCTGTATTGAACTCTTCAGAGCTCTTATATGAATCATATGTGATGAAAAACACTCAAACACACCATCACACAACCTGTCCAACAAAATCATAGACCTGAGGAATGTAAATAATACATTCATACTGCAGGGTGAGAACACTTTAGGATTCAAAAGTGCTCCTTTTTATCTTAGAAATGTTGAAAAAAAGTAATAAAATCTTCACATATTAAGCTCTGCTCTTGCACAAATCACTGCGAACAGATGGTGACATTGAAATGCAGCTTGAATGCAATTATTCATTTGGGACAGCATGTAAGAGGCAATTTAATATCACATGACGTGAACAAAAGACAGTTTTTATGGAGACTTAACTGGGGTTACTGACATTTGATCATGCTACACATTTACCACAGTCAGCTGAGGAACAGATATGCTCATGCTTACCTTGTATGAAATTCTCCAGCAGTTTGGGACTAGGTGGTTTTCCTTGTTGAGCAAGGGCAATGAGAGCCAAGCCTTTATACAGCGAGACTTTACTTAGGAATCCATCACCACTGTTTACATGTTCAGCTATCTAAAATGCAGATGAGATACCTTTAAGCCTGTGCAGAATAAGTTCCCCAAGAAAACCATAACATTTCCATTTCCAGCCATACATAATGTCATTAAACAAAGCTTGTGGGATGTAAACTATCGGCTACAGTCTTTCTAGCCAATAATGACACAAGTAATCTTAGTGCAAGTCTCACCTGGTTTTGAACGGTGATGGAGAGAGATGTTCTGCTGAGAACTCTCTGGAATACACTTAAAGGCACTCGTTCATCAGTTCTGGAGCAGATGGCTTGATGTACTTCACGATAGTATGAAGGGACAGATCCTACATTCAAAAGACCATAAGAGCTTAGTGCTGACATAACAAAGGAATTGACTTGGAATGGGTGACTGACTGGGAACATTTCAATTTTGTTACAAGTGAACACACTGAAATAACTTTTTTTTGTCAAACAAGCCGATTGCTCCAACACTGACAGAATATTGTAGTTGCACAATGCATTTGTATTTTTTATTGAAGAGTTCAGTGAGTTCTTGTTAGACACAAACAATGTAAGTCTAATACAAACGGAAACACAACAGAACTTAATAAAAAATAACATTAAATACAAATATGCCATCGCAAGCATATAGTACATTAAATTAATTTAATAGAAACACAGCCGAAATATATTTTATTCAAAATACATTTCCAAAGCTGTTTGGAAATGAATTGGCTTTTGAATTTCCATTCGAATCCAATGGCGTCGGTCGCAGAGAAAATTATTTGATTGGATATCAAAATGGCAACATTCAGCCTATAAGGATGGGTGCAATTGACTGCATGCATAATCAATATAATTAATCATTCGGCTCTGCGCAACTCCTTCACAAATCGTTAAAATGGTGTCAAAGATTTAAAATATTTAGCATATGTATAGGATTATGGACATATCAGCTTTACATTATTAACCATCATTGAGGTGTCAGTCTGGAAAACTTGAATTAACAGGTAATGTAGTCACTACACAGGCGAAACCAGTAAAACAACAAATAAAAAGAAACATTTACGCAAGAACGCAAAGCGCATAGCTCGCGTTAAGTTAAAGTGACTCGTGTTGTCTCTCTCGATATTTTAAAACACCATCAGAGAAATTTTAGAAGCCAAGAAAAGAAATTCGCTGACAAACGCCAGTACAAAAGTACATAAATAAACCGCACGGCAAAGCATTATCTGAAACTGTGAGATATTTCGCTTAAATGCCTGTAATTTCTAATCCTTACCTTCATTGATGTCCGCCGTCATAGTTTAGATGTCATGTGAGTGCGATGGCACTTCCATGTGATTTCCTGCAGAAAAGAGCAGGCATGTCCCTCTCCTTAAAGTTGTGGTGATGTGGAAACACATGTGACAGTGGGTGGAGCCTCAGGTTCAACAGGCTCTTTGAGGACAAACACATCTTTATATGACATTATAGACTGGTTTTATATGGTTAGAATGTTTTCTAGAATGTAATTCACCCAGAGATGTAATCTGTTAGCTAATATAGTTTACAAGACATGGCAAAACAAAACAACCACACTAAACTCACTTGTATAGATTTACCTTTCCAATAAATAAACCAGAAACAAAATAAGCAAATAGACATTGCATTGCCTTATACCTTTTGACACTTGTGTAGTTTATATGATATGTTTTGCCTACTATAG